TGCACAACCATTTATCGATAACAGCTAACAACTTTACAACACATAACTGCGCAATCAGAAAAGGGACGTAGCACCTCGGTGTACAGAGCCGAACAAAGCAGCACCTCACTCCCTTCTCCACTCATTCCAGCCACGATAGAACTGAAAAAAACTACGCTTTTTTGAGAGTGACTGCGGCACTAGAGATGAGTTTTTTACTGCAATTCCACGCTTTTTCTAATCGGTAGAAAAAGAAACATTTATCTTCAAATTTTTATACGTTCTGTGGTAGTTAATCATTTCCCTTCCCTTTCCTGTCGAAGCTTCTGAAGGAAGTTTCATCATGATGGCAAAAACTGCATCCCAACAAGAAACCCTGAATGTGCCTTTGCCACAGTGCCAATGTCCCTATCGTTTTATAAAGCAGTCCCGCCACTTTTTATCAAACTTGGACTGGTTCTTTGAAACAGAAGCCGACAGTGTTCCCTCATCCCAGCAATGCTCATCGTGCGGGCGTGTGATTTTAGGATAACAAAAACACATGAAAAAACAGCCGTTAAACAATACACTTAAGAAATCATCAGACGAGGTGCTATCGACATTGACATTAATTCCTGAAACAGCAGTTTACATGCATACGGAATGCGAACCGCTGATACTTGCGTCTTATTGCGACACGCCTGAAAGAAATATTTTTTTAGTGATATTGAAATGTACAGTTTTCCACGTAAACGAAGGGAGAGTTGTTCCTTTTTGAACAAAGCAAATCGGTCTGGGAGCAAGGGATGTCGAGTTTTACGTTGACCCAGTCCGCGACATCTGACGAGGAGTATGATGCTCTTCCATCTGCGCATTAGAATGTGGTTTATCTGCTAGATGAATGCAACAAAGCCACTTTTTCCCATAAACCAGCAAACGGCGGTAAGCTAGAAGAATCGAAGCCATGGAAAATCAGACGTTCTTAAAAAATATTTGGCCTATCTATTTCGTAATTTTAATCATTACGAATCGCTGAATTTCCTCTTTTCATAACTGATACCGTAAATTTTCACTTTTCATAACTGTCTCAGTTATGAAAAGAGGAAATTCAGCGATTCCAGTTATATGCTTGTAGTATGGAGTCAGTTGCCAGGTGCGAACGAAACCTGCTCTGAAAAATTTGCTTGCCAGCAGTTGTAACATCGTTTTGAAAGTGCTAATACGTAGTATTTCATCAGTAAGTTTTCAAACTTACTTTGCACTCAAATGAGTTGGTGCGTAGATTAGCTATGACAATCAATCCGCAGTTGTTGCAAATATATACATGATATGGATCGGATACTTCAAAAAGGCGCTCTCTCAGGAACTGCGCTGCTCCATGAGAAATCTGACAGTCCCGTTCCATCTCACCGAAACGAAGTCCACCATCCCTGAAGAAGACTTCTTTGAGAAAAAGTAAAGATCCCATTTGCGAGTGAAATGATTCCATTTGAAGAAGACTTCTTTGACAAAAAGTAAAGATACCATTTGCCCC